CGAATGTTGTCTTTTAATTTCTCTTGAGGCCTATATATAGAGGTCTCTTCTCTATGTATTGTGGATGATGGATTATTAATAAAAAAAAATTTGCATTTGCACTTGGGTTCTTTGGAAGAACGTTAGTGAAATCCCTATGGGAGGGAGTCGGAGTTTCCACCAGCCGCCAGGATGGTCCGGGCTCGTGGCGTGAAGTCCCTTGGAGAAGGGCAAAGCATCACCATTCAGTCTTCGGAAGAGTCCGAGGCTCGCGGTTCTTGTCTTCTCTCTTTCGTTTTATTCTTCTATCGTTTGGTTCGATCTTTGTTTTTTTTGTTTATTCTTCTTAATTATTTTTTTCCATCGTCTTCTCCTTCCCATCTTCGTTTGACCAACGGATTCCACCACCACCCCCAAATCCCCCATACCCGAACCCATGCCGTCGGCTCCACCCCATTACCTCCGCGAACCTTCCCTCCACCCCTTTTGGATATTCCTAATTTGGTTGGGTTAATTTAGGGATTGATTTGAATTTTGAATTATTCAAATTCAATTTTCAAATTTCTTTTCCTAAATTAGTGATTCTATTTTGAAAAGTTTCTTAATTTACATCCATTTTGAATTTGAAATTCAAATTGGAGTGAATTATTTCTTTCATAATCTTTTAAACCAAAATTAAGAAGTCTTAATTTAGCCCCATTAAATCCCCTCCCTCCTTCTTTAGCACCGGCCCCATCATGATTTAAATTGATTTATTTCCTAAATCATACTAAGCCTCTTGGAAAATAATCCTCTCTCTTGCAACCGGAATCATTTAAGCCAAAGCCTTATATTTACTGTCCAAAAAATACGTTGGAGAGAAATCTAGGAATTAAACTCCCTAATTTCTTCCCCATACTTCCCGTCAATCTCCTTACAAGAATTTTTTTCTTTAAATCTGTCTACTTTACTTTGTTCTCTCGATTACCAAACTGATGTAAACGGTCAGGAGTTTTGAATCCTAAGGGTCTTCAAGGCAATTAGTGAGGTTTAAACGCATCTTTAGACAGCAGGACAGCAGTTTTGTCTTGTAGAAACTTCAGGTACAGCAGGTAGAATCAATATCCGGAATGTAGAAAACTGTTCTGGACAGCAACCTATAGTAGCTCAGAAAGCTTGGTTTAGACATAAACTCCTGGGAACAGCCTTCGTGGCCTTCCAAAAGTGTCTGAGACAGCCAAGTATTCTTGCATGGAATAAGTGGAAACCAAAGTCAGGTGCAGGAAATTTCGGCAGGCAAGCTTGAGAAACAAAAATAATGAACGTTGGCTGGCTGTGAGAGGGTTTCGGAGGAAAGAAGTTGTCCAAAACATGGAAGGAGAACGGATAAGCTGAAGGAAAATGATTTGCGAAATTTTCCAAGTGGGGAGAGGGTGATTTGAGGAAAGAAATACGTATGATGGCCTGGAAGATTCCGGCTAAGTGGAAATAGAGGCTGATTCTGAATTTATTTCCAAGCGAGGAGATGAGGTTTAGGAAATAAATTCATTGATCTCTCTCTTTGCCCCTTGGGCTTACATAAGACAAGAGGGTAAAAAGGGAAATTGCAAAACTAAATTAAAATACACTTAATAAACAAAAATAAAACAAAGTGATCTCGGTCGTCGATCTTCAGCTCCTCCCGGATTAGCATGGACGGTTAGATGTCCGCATCAACAACAGTACACAGCAACGTAATATGGATCGTCCAAGAATGGTTTGAATTTGATTGCCCCTGTTGTATAAATCTACTTCAATATTTCTGTAAGCATCTTAAATAATCTCAATATAAATTTGGCATGTATTATTTTCTCATCATTACATACCAAATCAATTATCATAGCTCTCAACCAATCAATTGTTTGTCATCTCGTGATTACACAAAATCATATAAAGAACCTTTTATTTACTTCATATAAATTTAGAATCATTGCCTAAGCATAAAAATCATTTTCATAATGAATTTTACTAACGTAAAACCAAATTACAATTTTTTTATGTTTATATTTTGTTACTTTCTTTAATAACTTCATTATATAACCCATAACAAATATGATTATTATAATCATGAAAATCCCTTTTGTTCTTCATTTTTGGTACAAAATGCTTCTCCCGTCATGTAACATTCACATAATCCTCAAAATATAATTAAAAACATTTGCTAGTCATACCACTCTAATATTTAACTCTCAAATCTCTAAAAGTATCTTATCTAGAACTAAAACTTTACATTATGCATCTTTATATTTTTAGCTGAGTCTCAAAGAATACCAAATGGAAGGTTAGTGATGAGTGCTAATTGGGTCGATAAGGAGTATCATTAATTTCTGCTATTTATTATGGGAGTAGATTTGGAAAAGGCAATGAAAATATGAACTTCGTTGCAGCTTATCTTCTCATTTCCCCTAATGCCTTCCTTTTCTACTTTCAGCTCCCAGTGTAACTAGTATGGGAGTTACCAGCGTCCTATAATTGATGAGGAAAGAATATAAAAAAAACAATAAGCTATAAATTAAATAATGAAATTTCTTACGTGCGGTCAGACAAACGGCATATATTCGGAGTGAGTTTTTCAGCATGATGCTCCATGTATTCCACAGGTTTCCCAATGGAAATTTTAGTGTACCTGGAAAATAATTTGATCCATTGAATCTTGATAAACAACCCTAAAATACAAAACAAAAGAACGCATCGCGGACGGACACCGCAACAGACCGGAGATAAAGCGACGGGTCTTGGGGGCATTCGATGCGATCATTCGTCTTCATGATCTTCTTAATTTCATTATTGATGAAATAGTTGAACGAGTCGATGTGCTGCTTCACCAGGCCCCGCACCTGCCACGCAAACTTTCTTATAATTCACGGCCACCAGATCCACTGTAGAAGTAGAAGAGACAGAGAGAGGGGGAGAAACCTTTAGGAATTCTGGAAGGAGAGCAAACTTGTCGACTGCGGACTTGATTGGCTTGGCGTGGTTGTTGTGAGTTTCCACGGAGCTGCGGGTAAAGCGATGATGCATTAGATCGAGTACCTTGAAAACGACGAAGAATCGTGTAGTTATGCAATGGAAATATTACTCTTTCTCTCGATATCCCATTTCTTCTCCTGGATGATTCCGCGGCGGGAAATAGTATTCTGGTGTGATATCTGATGGTTTTAAGGATTTCTTTTAGGAAGCGTTGAGGAAAAAAACCTCGGCCGGGAACTGTTAGGAAGAGCAACTTGGCCCGGTAACAGGAGATAAGGAAGGGATTTCATGAAGCGGGAAGGGAGGGTTTTAGGGTTTATGGAAGAAAATACTCTGTTTTTTTTTTTTTTTTTTTTTTTTTTGCATTTAAGGAAAACTAAGGATAAATTCACAAATTTTAATTCAATTGATTTTTAGTATAAAGTTGAAAAATAATTTGCGATGAAATTAATAGAATTTTCTATGATATATGTTCTTTTATTTTTTAAAAAATGTGTCCAAATAGTACATTTAAATCAAAAGATGCCCTCAATACACATATCTAATAGTATAAGAAGGAACACATACCAACATTTTTCCTTAGTTTCTTCATTTATCATCATCATTGTAGATTCTAGATATGAGTTGTGACTATATTTATGACTTCGAAAATATAGAGTTGACTATATTTTATGACTTGGTTGAGAGAGTCAATATGCAAGATAGAGAACATGGTGCTTATCTTTAATATACACATCAATATAATCAACAATTTATCAATCATTTTTCAATAGCACACCAAGAAGCTTGATATCATCGTGTGGTAATGAATATCATAATGGAGTTTAAAATTAGTAGTTTTCATAAGGAGTGTCACTTAGCTTCCAAGGCTTACAAAAGAGATTAGTTGTGTGGGCACTTAAATCAAATATGTTTTAAGAACTCTAACATTGCATTATATCTTAAAAATGAAGTTGGCTTTGAACAATGGGTATGTTCTTTCTGCATTCAAATAGATACAATTTAATGACAACTAACATTTTTAGAACTTTAAATATGTTATAAAGAGTGCATGCTCCTATCTTGTGACTACATTATTAGAATTTTTAAGATGCATGATGCAAAAATGATTTGTTAATATATGCAATATGTAACAAACACAAAAACTAATTTAATGAAGGAAATCGAGGAAGCATTGTAAAAACTCTTAAATAAGGCCAAAGTATCATCGTATATTCCATTAATCAATTTGATCAATATTTCTTTAATTGTCATTTTAATGGTGATATTAATTTGTTGGAAATAGCATGTATATGTAGAAAATTTGATATTATGGATCATCCGTAGTGGCATATATTAGCAACAATTTAGAACGGGTGCTAATTATTATTCCTTATGTTCAAAGTTCTATCCACATGAAACATGGTTAGTTGCATACATTGAAAACATATACCTAGTCGAAAAAGAAAACACTAAAGAGGTTTTAAATAAAATAAAGATTGTTACTGCTCCCCCATTTGTGAAGCTTGGAGTGGGCATTCAAAAAGAATATAAGGCTTTCAAAGGGGGAGAAGGATGCAGTCCAATGTAAATGTAGCTACTGTGGAGTTAGATGTCATAATTGAGTTACTTTTAAGGCCAAATGCCCACTACATTCATAAAAAATTTCTTGCACTGATTAATCATAATTCTAGAAATATTATTACTGAATGGTTATACAATGACGATTTTGGAACACACACACATATATATTGTGTTGCAGTTGAATTTAATATTTTATATATGATTTGATTGCTCTCCATTGTATCTATTTGTTTGATCATTATTTAACCAATTTGTGATTGGAATTTATAATTAATATTGTATACTATAATCACTCGTTGAATTTATTGTGTTATGTAGAACATGGAATGAACCTTTTTCAAACTAGTCATTCAACAATTTTATAACTATTACATAATATCTTATTTGAACCACCTTTGAACAACAACAACAACAATATCAAGCCTTTGTGCCACTATGTGGTGTCGGCTACATGAATCCTTTTTCTCCATTGTGTCCAGTTAAAAGTCAAATTCTGATTTAAATATAATAAAGAAAGATCATTTCTAATATTATCTAACCAAGACTTTTTAGGTTTGCCTCTACCTTTCTTAGCATAAGTCAAATATAATACCTCAACTTTCATAATCGGGTCATCGGAAGGCCTCCGTTTAATGTGACCAAAACATATAAGGCGGCTCTCTCTAATCTTATCTTCCACTGGAGCTACTCCAACATTTTCATGTATATGCTCATTTCGTATCCTATCTCTAAGGGTCAAGCCACTCATCCATGTAAGCATCCTCATCTCTGTAACACTTAACTTAGTATTATGCTTCTCTTTAATGGCCAACACTCGACCATAAAGCATTGCAGGTCTCACAATCATCTTATTGAATTTTCCCTTAAGTTTGAGAGGGATTTTTCTATCGCAATAAGCCTGATGCATTCCTCCACTTCAACCATCCAACTTGAATTCCGTGATAATATCCCCATTAATTTCACCATCACTCTGAACAATAGATCCAAAATATCTAAAATGTGTACTATTATTAATGACTTGGTCGCCCAAAGTCACAATCCCCTCACTAGGTTTATTGCTACTAAAATTACACTCCATATATTCAGTTTTTAGATCTACTCAAGCGAAAACCTTTAGACTCTAAAGTTGACCTCCATAATTCAAGTTTACCTTCAACTCCCTCTCTAGTCTTATCAACAAGAAGAATATCATCAGCAAAAAGCATACACCAAGATACATCCTCTTGCAAATGTCTAGTGAGAACTTCTATGACTAAATCAAAAAGATATGGACTTAAGGTCGATCCTTGATGTAATCCAACCAAAATAGAAAAATACTTGGTCAAACCACCTTGTGTTTGAACACAAGTAATAGCTCATGCATACATATTTTTAATTATTTGAATATAAGCATTATTAACATCTTTCTTTTCAAGAACTCTCCATATCACTTATCCTGGAACTTTATCATATGCTTTCTCTAAATTAATAAATATCATAGATTCTCCTTATTTTCTCTACATTTCTCCATCAAACCTCTCAATAAATGTATGGCTACCATAATAGACCTACCCGGCATGAATTCAAATTGATTTTGAGAAACATTAGTATCACACCACAACCTACGCTCCATAACTCGCTCTCAAAGTTTTAAAGTATGACACATTAACTTAATTCCTCTATAATTCTCACACTCTTTTGCATCACCTTTATTCTTAAAAATAGGAATTAACACACTCATTCTCCCATGATCAGACATCTTTTTAGTCTTCAAAACAGTATTAAAAATTTTAGTAAGCTAAAAAATTCCTTCATCTCCTAAGCATTTCCACATCTTTATTGGAATATCATCAAGCCCAACAGCTTTTCCATACTTCATTTTCTCCAAAGCTTCTCTAACTTCAATTTTACTTGTACGACGATAAAAACAAAAATGTTATTCGTATTTAGGGTGGTAAAGTCACTAAAGTCAATTGTATTTTCACATTCTTTATTAAAAAGTTTAGCAAAATACCTCATCCACCTTTGTAGAATATTATCTTATAAGAAAAGTACTTTTTAATTTTCATCCTTAATACACTTCACTTAAACTAAATCCTTACTACTCCTATCTCTTTGTTTGGCTAACTTATACATATATCTTTCTCCCTCCTAAGTATCTAATCTATTATATAAATCATTAAAAGCTAAGTTCTTTGCATTGCAAATCACTTTCTTAGATTCCTTACGAGTCTCTTTATAGCTTTCCTGATTATTAGAATTTTTACATCTAAACTATTTTTTATAAAATATCTTCTTATTTTTTATCTTTTCTTGCACATTTCGATTCCACCACCAACTATTTTTACTAATAGGAGTTTTTTCCTTCGAAATCCTAAACACATCTTTTGCAATATTCTTAATGTCACAAGCAGCTTTTTCTCACATAATATTAGCATCCTCATACACAGACAAAATCTTAAGATCTAAAATCTTACTCTCAAAAAAACTTTTATTAATATTCTTTAAATGCCACCATCTAGTCTTAGAAAATTATTTTACTTTATTTTTTATTTTTTGCCCTTTATCTTAAAGTCTAAAACTAATAATCGGTGTTTGGTACATAAATTTTCACTCGGAATAACTTTACAATCTATACAATCTAAACGATTTAATTTTCTAATAAGAAAATAATCAATCTCCGTTTTACTATATCCATTTTTATAAGTGATAATATGCTCATCTCTCTTCTTAAATAAGGTATTAGCTATTAAGAAATCATAAGCTAAAGAAAAATCTAATAAAGTATTACCACATTTATATGTCGTTCCAAACCCATGGCTACCATGGATGTTTTTAAAATCATATACCTCTCTACCAACATGTCCATTTAAATCTCTTTTGAACATTAATAAAAAAATTTCCAAACAAAAACAAATAATATTTGATTAAGGTTCAAAGAATGTTTGATCATGGACCAAAATTTTATCATATATTATATCAACATAGATTGAATTTTGATTAAACTTTATTTGAAAGTAATTGAATCAATTTAGATTGCAAAAAACCTTTAAAAAGTAGCTTGTTGTTCAATGTAAGGGCATTTTGCTATGAATGAAACTTTCAAGTATACTTCCCCATGTTATCGGACATATTTCTTTAATTTTAGCATTATAGGCATATAAACTCAAACTTCCATATTCCTATATATGCCATTTGACTATTTATAAAATTAATATTAATACAATTCATTATTAAATTTTAAATGTTAAAA